CTCAAATGGCCGAAAGACATTTAAGGAATTGCTCAACATCCCTAATCATCAGGGAAATGCAAATCAAAACAACTCTGAGATATCACCTTATGCCTGTCAGAATGGCTAAGATCAAAAACACTGAAGACACCTTATGCTGGAGAGGATGTGGAGCTAGGGGAACTCTCCTCCACTGCTGGTGGGAATGCAAGCTTGTACAACCACTTTGGAAATCAATATGGTGCTTTCTTAGAAAATTGGGAATCCATCTCCCCCAAGATCCAGCTATACCACTCTTGGGCATATACCCAAGGAATGCTCAACCACACCATAAGAGCACTTGTTCAGCTATGTTCATATCAGCATTGTTTGTAATAGCCAGAACATGGAAACAACCTAGATGCCCTTCAACTGAAGAATGGATAAACAAAATGTGGTACATATACACAATGGAATACTGCTTCTCTATTAACAATAGCTGAAACCGGAAACTGCCTAGATGCCCATCAACAGATGAATGGATAATTAAAATGTGGTATATTTTTTTAAATTAAAAATGGTATAATTCCATTTGCACAATGGAATTATCCGTTGTTTAAAAAAATGAAATTATGAATTTCACAGGTAAATGGATAGAGCTAGAACAAATCATTCTGAGTGAGGTAAAATAGACCCCAAATGAAAAATGAGATATGTATTCTCTTATACGTGGATGTAAGCTTTTGGCCTTCAATAGGCATGCTATACAATCCACATAACCACAGAGGTTAGGTATAGAATAGTAACTAGGGTGAAGGGGAGGCTCTCTTAATGAAGGGGAAATAGAATATATAGTTATAAAAGATGGGGGGTGAATTAGAATAGGAAAATTAAATAGAGATGGGGAGAGAAGTCAGGCGTAGAGGAGTGTAGTGGTTTGAATGAGAACGGCCTCATAGGCTCTTGTATCTAAATGTTTGGTCTCCCAATTGATGGAACAATTTGGGAAGTATTAGGAGGTGTGACCTTGTTGGAAGAAGTGTGTCACTGGGTTGGGCTTTGATGTTTCAAACACCCATGTCAGGATCAGTGTTTCTTTGTCTCTTCCTGCTGCCTGTGGCTCAGACTGTAAAGCTCTCAGCTACTACTCCAGTGCCATGCATATCTGCTTCCTTCTATAGCAATCATGAGCTACCCCTCTAAAATGGTAAGCAGTCCTCCAATTAAATGCTTTCTTTTATACAGGTTGCCTTGGTCATGATGTCTTTTCCCAGCAATAGGACAGTGATTAAGATATAGAGGGACTATGGAGAAGGGAAACTAACACTAAGGACCATTTGTGAGGGGTCATATTGAAACCTACAAACAACAGAAGCTTCTTAAAATAGAAACATAAAATCTAAACGGAGTAGTCACCAAATGAACAGGGAGACAAGGCTACTACTACACATCTTTTGCCACTAACCTATACCTCCAGAGCAAGGAATTGGTTTCACTTAATTAAGTTTTTGGCCAAAGAAGCCCATCTGAAACCCCTAAACTACTCAGACTGTTGCCAAGGCTATTTCTTGCTCTCCACAAATTGATGGCAAGGCCCTATTGCTGAAGACAACACTTATACATTTCACAGATCATGGAAAAGTCAACCTGGTGTCTACCTGGAGCCTTCTTCACCCCTATTGCCAAATGTTTGTAGTACTGGAAGGTGCTTTGCACACTTTCAGGGGAGAAGGGTGAACATCAGCCCAGCTACAAACCCTGAGGTCTACAGTGATAACCTGCCTGCATGATAAACTGCATGATGCACAAACTTGTGGAAGTAACTATAAGGTCCACTCAATGAGATAGAACCCATACGTAACACTAGATAGGAGGCCATGGACCTAGGAGAAAACCAAATACTATTGTTTTGCTAAAGGAACATAGCAATAAAATGACTTCAAACAACGTTCACCAATACTTATAGATCAATGTCTCACTCAGTCATGAACAGAGAAACTTCCTTCTGCAGTAGATGGGGACTAACACAGAGACCCACAACTGGAAAATGTGCAGATGGTGACAGACTTTGGAAAACTCAGTCCTAAATGGGATATCTCTATCAAATATCTCTCCTCAGGGCTCAGGGAACTCTGCAGAAGATGAGGTGGAAAGATTGTAAAAGCCCAAGGGGATTCAGGACACCAAGGAAATAGTGTCTTCCAGACACAACAGGACTGATGCACATATGACTTGCAGAGACTGTGGCAACAAGCACAGGGTCTGCACAGGTCTAAGCTACAGGGAGTCACAATGGTGAGTGAAGGGGACACAAGCTCCCATCTCTAACCAAGAAGCTATCTCCAACTGACCACTGTTTGCAAAGGAACAGCTAGTGTTCTCCGATGGAGCCTCACTGGGTATACAAACCATAACTAAGAGCGGGGCAACGCCCAGCAGTAGATAGATGGCATAAAACCGATGCAATATTATTTTTGGAGAACGTTTTCAATCTCATACTTCTTTGTTCATACATTTTTAACTTCACTAGTCTTTTGCTCATATATTTTATTTTCTTATTTTATATTCTTATGGATTTTATTTTCTTTGTGTGTGTCTCTCAATGTGTATGTGTTCCTCATGCTTTTTCATTTTCTTATTATTTTCTTTTCTGTTTTGAGAGGGAGAGAGAGAGAGAGAGAGAGAGAGAGAGAGAGAGAGAGAGAGAGAGAGACAGAATGGAGTTGGGTGGGTGGGGATGTAGAGAAGATTGGAAAGGAGATGAGGGAGGGGGATACCATGACCAGAATAATATATTGCATGAAAAAAATCTTCAATAAAAAATAAATTCCTAGTATTGATTGAACTTTGTAAGATTCTACTAGTGAGTTTAAATTGTGAAGCAGGTAATGTATTTGTTTACATAGATTTTAATCAGAAACTACCCTTCTTGCTCCTTAGAGAACTGACTTTGGGAAAGAGCAGAACACAGGAGTCCAGAGGCTGAACACAGAAGGATGGTGACCTTGAACTAGCTTCTCACGGACAAAGGAACTTTGATACATTCGATTCCTTGCAGCTGAGCCCTCACTCACCACGCCAGTTTTAGAGAATGCAAACCGTGTTCACCCCCTTTAGCTGTACATCCGACTATTAATCTGGACACTTGAATATTTTTTGTCCTCTATTTGGAATGGCCTTCACCTTTCTCTGTGTGGTCCAGCAGAAAGCTCAGCCTTCATGTCCCAGTCTCCTCCTTGGAACCTTTCCTGACCTATTGGAACCAGGAGATGCTGGTCCAGACTTTTATAGACTATAAGACTTACCTTGTGTTTGTTGTGGTGGGTCCTACCAATATCAGTATCAATACCATGCATACAATTATTCCATGTTTGTTATATGTAGAAGTTGATGAGGTAGTCTAGAAGTTGGAGCTGTGCTCTAAGGCTCAATGAACTTATGTTTCATTGTTTAGACTTATGTTTCATATGTTTCAGACTTATTTGGTTATTTTACTTAATATACCCGTGCCACCTATTATATTCTTCCTTATACATTTGCAAATGCAAAGGGAAATGTGAGAAAAATCCCAGTAGCTTGGGTCTCTGCCATAAGTGAATTAAAAGTTTCAAGTCACAACGAGTAGATGACCAATCATCAGCTGGCAAAGCTACTCTTTCTACTGACTGAAGCTTGGAACACTCCTTTCAAAGTCCGAAACATAATGCTTTCTCATTTTATTATTTATGTGAATTTATAGGCCATAAAAATAAATATGCACTGCAATTATTTAAATGTCACTTTCACAAAAGATTAAACAGATTCCAGAAGCAGACTATCATGAAGTAACTGAAAATTGAATGCAATCTCAATGCACAAGTGCCTATCTAACCATAGTTTTTTTTCTGTACCCACATAAAGACAGTTTTACTTGTATTTATAATATTTACTTCAAAATACTCTGGAGAAGGAAATACAGAAGATAATGAAATTTCACTATAAATATGGAAAATTTAGATGTGAAATTTTAATTAATATGATTTTGAACATCATGTCTTTATAACTACAGACTTACGAATATATATTTTATATCATATAATATATAATATATTTAATACACATATATTATATATTATATAATAAATAATATAATGATATATATTTTATAGATCACAGCCACTGTTTAGCACATGGGGATCAGTGGAAATTGTGGTATTTCAGACTATTATATTTAGAAGCTTCAGAGTTTGAAGGTCCAGAGTTAAGTAACTACTGCACATGGGAAAATTTTAATTTGAGAAGATTTGTTCAAAACTGAACTGATACTTAAACTATATATAATTGATTTTATTAATTAGAATATGCCTGCTATTATGGGTAATTAACATTTCCCATTGCCATTTACAACTTTATGTCTAACATATTTATCTCTTTCTTTCCTTGAGGCAAAATTATGCGTCATAAAATAACCTCTACTATTGAAACCAACATAAAAATTAGTTATGCCTCTATAAGCAGTAGCAGTGAGTTTCATCTGAGATTAGTTTAAGAAAGCTGCCACAAACAAAATAAGCATGGATGAACTGGGCCTAAAGGAGCATCCTTTCTCCTGCGCATCTTGGACAATGAGCTTATGCTCAGCTGAGGTAAATACTTTGGCCGGAAGAGGCTGACCACACACATTTGACCAGCACTTCAGTCCTGAGTCCTAGCACTCCTGATGTAAACACATGCTCATGCTTCATCCTTTGCCTTATTTGTTTATATTCAATACTTATTCCACCATGAGGGGAAAGGCATATCAGTTAAATACACTGAAAGCAGGTTGCAATTTAGAGATTTTTATATTAAGAATAAAACTTCAGTCTCACAAAACAGCTTTTATCTTTGGCACTTTTAAGTGAACATGCCCCCCCCCCCCACCCCGACACACACATTTATAATGCAATAATCCTCCCTCAATTTTAGTATTTCACTTTCTGTTTTGTTACCTTCCAAGTCTGCAAACACATGATTAACATCAACTCATCCATTGTCTTCTAACTGAATCGAATCCCTCTTACCGTGAAGCCCTCGGGACACTGAAAAGGAGCCCTGGAACTTTCGTCTGCTGTTGGACTCAGAGGCTTGGGGTCAGACATAGAACGCTGCATCATCTTGGCTGTTTTAGGACTTGCTGGGGGAGCTTTAGCCATATCTGGATGTAGTACTTTCTGTGGACTTAGGTCATCAGGGAGGGACTTTTCATAAGGTACAAAGGCTGATTCTAAAGCTTTGCCTGGTGAAAGTGGTGAGATGGGTGAATAAAGGACTTTTGGAGATTTGGGTGGGGAAGGAGCCAGCTGCACTGTGGTGTCTGCCCGAAGGTGAGATGATGAGTAACCAATCTCTAAAGGAGTCGGGCGTTTCTTGTCTTTGGGTGGAGAGGTGGCACCCAGGTATGGAGGGCTCTGTGTGTCTGAATCTGTTTCTGTTTGACATCCTAAACTGCCCCCTTTGTAAGTCTTTTCAGGTGCTGAAATGTGTTTAATTATTTCTACCTTGGCATCCACTCGTGCTCGTATGGAAGGTGTCCGTATGGTTCCCACTGGTTCAGTTTGCACAGATATCTCTGCGACTGTCTGAACTGCTACACTGGAGACTTTGGAAGCGGGTTTGGTCTTGTCACCCTCCGTGGTGCTGTCTCCATATTTCCCTGGACGTGCTTTTCTCCTTGACCTAGAAGGCACATCCCATTCATCCTGATCTTCATCATCTGTTTGGACACTGGTATCAACGCTCTTTTTAGTTCTTCTCCTCCTACTTGAGTAACTCCGATCAGCGGTTTCTTCATCATCAGTTTGTACACCACTGTCCACTATCTTTTTTAAATTCCGTGGGTCGTCTGCCACGCTTTCCCCCATCTCATCATACTGCCCCCGAACTTTAGCTCCAGAACTTCTCTTTTTGGGTTGTTTCTCCTCTTTTACAACAACATCTGTCAGAGGTATCTCTGAAACAGTGCTCAAGATGCCAGGTGGGGCAATGTACTGAGTCACCCCATCAGACTGAACAGTGTACCATCCTTGGCTCTGTGGTATTTCAATGGCCACCACAGTAGAAGCTGTAGTGGTGGCATCTTCAGTGGCCCAAAACTGACTGCCCTCTGGAGCAGCATATTGACCCTCCAAAATTGCCTGTTCAGTGGTGGTTTGTGGAGAAGCATTTCCAGAGGGGTCATAGTTATACTGGTAGATCTGGCGGAGTTTTTGCTCCTCCAGCTGCTGGTGCAGCTGTTGCTGCAGCTGTTGGATCTGCTCAAGCTGTAACTGTTGCTGAGCTAGGGTCTCCTGCCTCATCATGAACTGGGCCTGCCGCTCTTCTTCTTGCTGAAATAGGAGGTGCTGTTTCATAGACTGAAGCTCCTCCAGCTTCTTTTGAACCATGATCTTTTCTTGTTCTCGGAACCTCTGAATCTCCTGACGTTCCCACTCCAGTTCCTCAGCAAAGCGTTGTTGCTTAATTTTCTCCAGTTCCAGGAGCTCTCGCTCCAAGTCAAGTTGCTGTTGTTGTTTATCTTCATCAGAGACAATTAAAAGAGTGCTTTCTTCTCCTCCCACCTCAGAAAACACTTCCGATGCTGTGGTTAAAGCAGGAGCAGAGTCCATTGTCGCAGCCGGAAGAGTTTCCATAGTAATAGTTTGCAGACTGGCATTGATGTCAATACTGGTTACTGCGATGTCTGTTTCTGATGCACCTGTTGTTATGAAATATGATCGAGGCATTGGCTGGCTTTGATGCAGGGCTGATAATGAAGTCAGTGCATCTGTCGTGTGAATACCAGATAAATCCCTCACCGTGGTGCTGAAAATGGAGCCAGGTTGAGTGGTGATAGCAAATGTGGAGGGGATTGGGGTTGCTACTGAAGAATAGACAACACCATTAGATGACCTCAAAACACTTCCCACACCATATTGGGGTCCTGGAGGTGGAGTCATTCTTGCTGTGGAATACTGTGGGGTACTAATCCCAACTCCTGAAATGACTTGCCGTGTTTCTGGGTAGGGACCTGTAGTCTTGCTTGAATAATCCATTACCTCACCTGAAATACAGGGTAGAGTTATAGTCCAGTTCTCAGAATGAATGCTGCTGTTTGGGTCTGAAAGCCCCTTTATCTTGATGAGCGCAATGAATGGGACTGCATGCAAATCCACAGGTTAGCCTAATGCGTTGCGGAAGAAAAGCAATGTTGAACATGCAGGCACATGCAGGCGAGGACAACAGCAAGAACCACGAAGAAACAAAAAATGCACATGGACTTTAAAACATATTGCCAGAACATCCAAGGGAAGCCAAAATGTAAATAAAACCAGAGGAGGGGCATTTTTCATCCTGAAACGAGATGCATAACACCGTAATGGCATTTCAAGGCAGGGTCTATTACTATATCATACTGACCTGTAGATACTCTCCCTGAAGTTAGATCTACTGCTGCATCAGCTCCTCCAGAATAATCAAAAGCATTTTTACTTTTATAGAAAAAATGTCCAGCTTCTGCTAAATTAGTATCAGACATGGAAGGTTTCATTCCACCAATCCCTCTGTAACCATATGGCCCTGATCTATCATATTGGTAGTGGTCATCCCTATAACCAAAACGGTCTTCAGGAAGGGTCGTTGCAGGCTGCTGTGCTGTGCAGCTCCTTCCAAAAGGCAGCTTATAAACCATGTCACAGCACACAGCTCTTCTCCCTGCAGTCAAATCAACAGGCTTTTCATCGTCTTCAACTATTTTGGTCACCACACTTGAAGTAGATTCGTCCATTGTAACAACAGTCCTATGAGACTTGGATGTGCTGAGATCCACCACTTCTCCATCCGTGATCCCCCGAGATGCAGTGCTGTCAGCCCAGCCATTTGTGACACCCACAGGAGGTACAGTGACAGGCTTTGTAACAGCCACTGCCTGAGCTGAAGGACCTAGGGATAAGTTTATTGGCGCTTCATCTCTGATCACAGGAAATGTCTGGCCACTTGGTATCCTGTATGATGACTCAGTATGTTTTGACATAGTAAGCTGGAGTGGTGATGTCATTGCATACTCTGCACTCACTTGGCTTCCTGTGCCTGTTGTGTAAACTGTAGTATCTGTGCATGTGACAACAGCCACCGTCTCAGAGTCTAGGGTGACTGGAGTTACTAATGAGGAAGATGCACTGAGATTTATGATAGAAGGTTGGATGGCACTAATTTGTCGACCGTAAACTTCATTTGCTGTGGTCTGCCTTTTCCCATCCACTGCAGAAGCAGAAAGATCCATACATTTTTCAGTTGCTTTAGCTTCTATTTTTGGTATTGTACGCAAATCAATGGCATCACCAATAAGCTGCAACTTTCCATTTTCCCTGTACTGATGTCTGTCCAGAGCAAGAGGCTCTGGAGGAATGGGTATGGAAACGCTTCTGGGAGCCACACTTGGGACTGCACTTCTGGTTGCGGAAACCTCCGTTTTTGAAGCTTCTGTTGGAAGAAACTGTGTAAGTGAAGTTGGAGCTCCTTGAAACAGAGATGGAGTTACAACAGGGGCAGCAGAATATGTCTCCAAAGCTCCTGGTACATACAGGGTTGGCTGTGAAGAAGTTGGAATTTCTGTAGCTGTCACAGGAGGAACTACAGAAAACACTGTTTCAAGGGAAACCAGATCTTTTGGGGGTGATCCCAAGGGCCAACTGGTAATGGCTTGAGCAGCAGAAGAATCTGTTGGAGTCCCAGGTTCAGAGGGCAATGTAATAACCACGTAAGTCTCCATTAGAGACTTAGAATATCTTGGTGAGGATTTATTAGAGTGTGGGGAGAGTGGAGAGGTAGGGGAAGGCAGTTTGTAATCTGCGGAAGTCACTAAATTTAAGGACATACTGGAAGTCAAAGATAGACCTGTTGGTTTGGGGCACACATCTGATGTTTTCTGTGCAGTCACCGGAAGCTGAGGAACTGCTGGCTTGGGGGCAATTGGGGGTTTGCTTGGCTCTGGCCTGTGTGTAAACACAAGTCCAGTTGGGATTGAAGAGGGTTTAGGAGGGACAGGAGGAGGTGCAGCGGTACAAATTTTGGTTGCAGGTACCCCATTACTCCTCCGAGCAGTGGTGGCCTCTATTGGGGTAACGGCATCAACGTGGGTGGTACCGATCGTTGTTGGAGTCACTGGAGGGGCCGCTGCCAGCTTCTTTTTAGGATAAGGGGTTGGCTTAGGTGAAGTTGCTGGGGGCAATGGTGGAGGAGGGGGAGGCGGGGGTGGGGGAGGGGGAGGGGGTGGTGGGGGAGGAGGAGGGGGTGGCTGGGCTGATATGTCCAAAGAAGAACTTCGGAAAAATGGACGAGACTTAGATGGATGGGTAGAAACGGGAAGACCAGCTGATGGTAACCTATATGTGGGCTTTTCCTGACCAGAGAGCTTTCCAGATACAGAATATGGAGATACAGCTTGTTCCTTCATTTGAGGGGCTGTTACAGAAGGTGTTTGGACCAACCCAGTTTCAGGTAAGCTCATTTTTGTTAGTTCAACCTCAGACTCTTCCCTTTTATCTTTGTAAGCATCCAAAACTTCTAGAATAATTCCATCCCCAGTTTCCTTCTTGCCTTTTATTGGGTCCTTTTCAGACAGAGGTAAGTCAGTGGACATGGTGTCTGCTTGTGGCCTGTCAGCTTTAGGACTTACAGATTCTGTGACCGACGATGCTATACTAGAGAAGGAAATCATAATATGATCAGCATTAGCTCTACTTTCGGGTGGGATGGTCCGATCTAAAGACACACTTATGTCTTCTGGGTAGTCTATGATGCTGCCCCGAAAATAAGTTGATGAAGAAATTTCCTCAGAGTCTTCAAATTTCGTTATTACGTCTGCTGGCTCTGTATAAGCAGTGGTTAGGCTATCCAGGGTAGTAACAGGTGAGGAGCTATCTGTGGTGCAGACTGAAGAAATAGATGATGTGAGTGAAGGTGTGTCAGAGGGTGGGACAGATGCAGCACTTTCTGAAGGCTCAGAGTAGGTCAATATCAGTGATTCGTGGGCAATGATCTCTTGAATTTCTCTTGTATAATCAGTTACATATTCATCCTCCAGTTCTTCTGTTGAAAAATGTTGGGTTATCTTAACATCTGGGATAGAGAGAGTTGCACTGCTGGTTGAGTCTGTCAGGGATGCTCCAGAAAGGATACTGGATGTCAAAGATGCATCTTGCACCCTGTCAAAGTCCATAGTAGACTCAGCCATGTCATCCCCAATGGTGGTCTGTGTGGGACTGGATCCATCTGTCATCTGCATCTGTTGCCGCCTCATGAGTTCTTCATAGGCAGTGTCAGCATCTAATAACTTCTTTTCTTCACTGGTAGAAGTTACCATGGTTCCCAGATCCACTATTTCGTGGCTTTCTGGAATGATGTAAGAGCTTGAAACTATGTCTTCTTGAGGCACCACAGAATGTAAGCTTTCTAACTCATAAAACTCTTTTTGGAGGTCTGTGATTTTCTGCATAGGGTCATCATAAATCTGCTCAGGGAGTCTTATTTTGTGCTCTCTTCCTCTCTGCTGCATAAATCCATTTTGTTCTTCTTGCCTTGTGAGCAGACTGCCATCTACTGATCCATTGTACGTGTCCTCTACTAAAGATTCATAAATGTAGTCCTCTATTAACATGCCACCATACAATGGCTCTTTTTCAAAGACTTCATCTCGTTCATTTGCAGCTGGGAAAGCTTTATATTTGTGGGTTTTGTGCATCATTTCTTCATACATCTCCTCAGCACTTTTCAGACCCTTCTGGACACCTTCCTTCTGCATAGCGGATTGCTCATCTGTTGGCGAGTACAAAGACACAGCTGTGGGCAATTTATACACTTTTTGAACTTCTATTATTTTCTCAGGGCTTATTTCAAATCCTTCTGGGTCTGATTCTATGCTAGGTGAGTATTCAGAACAAGAGGACCTATGGAGCTCCTCCATTTCTGCCGCCTGGCGCAATTCTTCTGTGGGAGATGCATCCTCAATGGGAGAGAGATTACTGGGTGGTGTCTTTGGTCTTTCTCTCCTTCTCTGAGCTCGAAGTTCATCTTTGTCTTTCTTTGATTTCTTACTAGAACTCTTCCTTTGTTGCTGCTCTAATTCTCGCTGCTTCTCTTGCTCTTTTAACAGTTCTTCTTCCTCTCTCAATTCTTCTTCCTCAGAAGAATCTTCAATGGTAGGTAAAAGAGGGCCATGTGTCCTGTGCCGAGCTTTGCGCTGCTGCTTGCTCTCTCCTTTTTTGTGACTTGGGCTACTGTCACTGTCCTCATCAAGTGACGATACTGACGTAGGGGACGTGCCAGGAGTGAAGCTGGATGCATGGAGACTAGAGGATCCCTCTCCCCTAGATCTGTCCTCAGGTGAGTCTGTCAGGCTTTCCATTTCTAATTCTGGCTCTTCATCGAAATACAAAGTTGTTTTCTTCTGAGAGGATTCTGCAGAGTATTTATCTGCTATTGTACTGTTGAGTTCGATCGTCTTAAATCGACGCAACCCTCCTCCTCCAGCAACTACAAGTTCTTCACTCTCCTGACTTTTAGTTTCTCGAAATTTGAGCTCAGGACTTTCATCAAATGTTTCGTCATCCTCGTCATGCCAGGAATGACGTCTCCCTGCGTCATCATCGAAGCTGGCACTACTCTTACGAGTCAGTCGCCTGTGTTTTCCTGCTGTGCTTCTCCCTTTCCCTTTTGCTTCTTCCCTCTTCTGGCTTTCAGTAACACCGCTGATCTCTTTGAGCTGACTCCGAATGAACTCATCATCTTCAGAGCCAGAAGCATCCTCATCAGCACTCATTTCTATGATCTGTTTGCGAATGAAGTCCTCCTCTTCCCCCGAACCTTGACTGTCTTCCTGTTTATACTCATCACTGCTTGATGAGCCAACACTAGTTCTCCGCTTCCTACGTGCGACGGGGGAGTTTTCACTCTCACTGCTATCTTCCACTGAATCATAGGATGCTCTTCTTGGACTTAGGTCATCAGCTAGCTCAGGCTTTTCTTTATGGTCCTTCCTGGAAGGAAAGCCTTGTTGGCTGTCCCTTTTTGAACTTTCTTTCTTGTCTTGGCTCTCTTTGACCTCTTCTGAAATAGTGACATCCAGTGTTTCAGATGGAATCTGAGTTTTCTGCTGGTCCTGAGACTGCTCGGGAGAAACCCTCTGGGGCTGGGCTTTCTTTTCTGATTTTTCATCCAGTGTACTTGCCTGAGCTTCCAAAATGGATAGTACTGTACTTTCCAATTTTGCTAAGTCTGAGGGGCTGGAAGGACTGCTTTCTTGTGAGAAGGAGTCCTTTTTGAGCCCTTTGAGCAAATCTTTTTCATCACTTGGTATAAGACTTGGAATTTCACCTAGAGAACCCGATATTCCATCAGAAGAATATCCCGTGTCACTCAGACCTTGTGGACTCTTGGGCTGCTGAGAACTGGAGGTGTCTGATTTGTCCTCTTCCTTTTCCTAGTAGAGTGGGAAAGACACAGGGAAATGGATTAGAGTCAAACCAATCACATAGCTTTGCCATTATTATTAAATAACCATTAATAATTGAGGAATAATTATGGAAAATTCAGCTATATGATGATAGGGTTTTTTTTTGTTGTTGTTGTTATTTTTTCCTATTTCAAGACAGGGTTTCTCTGTGCAGCTTTACAGCCAATCCTGGATCTCGCTCTGTAGACCAGGATGGCCTCGAACTCACAGAGGTCCACCTGCCTATGCCTCCCAAGTACTGGGATTAAAGGTGTGTGCCACTACCCCCGGCATATGATGATAGTCTTATAAATGTTTGTATGAGGACAAAATTGACAACAGTTGCTAACTACTAACTTAGGTTAGTTTTCATTTAACCTAAATTTAAATTACATATTAATTCTCAATGTTACTTGATTTTCTTCCATGAATTCTATGAGGCTCCTTTACATTTTAATTTCACTTTTCTTCAAATACATTATCTGTATCAATACATTTACATTGTGACAAAGTTTAAATTGGTAAAAGAGTCAGTCTCTCTCTCGTGTGTGTGTGTGTGTGTGTGTGTGTGTGTGTGTGTGTGTGTGTGTGTGTGTGTTGTTCCTTTTATTTAATTGAAAAGTTTTTCATAAATATATTCTGATTATGGTTTTCTCTCTTTCAACTCCTCTGTGATGAATAGCTTTATGTCAACTTGACACAAGCTAGAGTTATCTGAGAGAAGGGAACTTCAATTGAGAAGATACCTCCATAAGATCCAGCTGTAAGTCATTTTCTTAATTAGTGATTGATGGGGAAGGGTCAGCTCATTGTGGGTGGTGCCGTCCCTGGGTTGGTGGTCCTGGACTGAGCAAGCCATGGGGAGCAAACCAGTAAGTAGCACCCCTCCAAGGCTTCTGCATCAGCTCCTGCCTTCAGATTCCTGTCCAGTTTGAGTTCCTGTTCTAACTTCCCTTAGTGATAATGTCACTTGGAAGTGTAAGATGGAACAAACCCTTTCCTCTCCAAGTTTCATTGTTCGTGATGTTTCATCACAGCAATAGTAACTCTTACTAGGATATCCTCTCAGATCCCTCCTACCTCCTCACTCACCCACATATCCTTTCTTTCTCTCTCTCTTTAGAAATAAACAAACAGGCAGAAAACAAAAACAAACCCACTGAAACATCACACCAGCCCACCAACAAAAGGCTTTCCTGAGTGGACAGCAGTACCTCATCACATTTCACATGATGACACAGAGCAGTTTTTGAAAGAACAAGATAGTCTCCATGATTTCTTTAGTTAATGCCATCTACCCATCACTCACAGTAAACACCATGGTTATAAAGAAAAATCAATCAAAATATGATCTTTCATAATTTAATTTTGATAACATTATTTTTATACCTTATTTCTGCCTACACATATGGTAAAGCCCAAAAACATAATAAAATTTCATATATATGAAGGTAAAGTATGTATTATTGTTTGGAACAATTCATTGAACATAATAAAAAGACACGTTATTTTGAAAATATAGATTTTTGAAGTCTATCCTGAAATTTTTATAAAAATAAAATTAAGACTAGCTACACAGAATGTAACAAATAAAAGCAAAAATAAACTCACGAAATTCTAACACAAAATATCAAAATATTTTCCCTATACCTGCCTGTGTATGGCTTCCCTCTGTGCCCATGCTTCCTAAATTTCTCTGCGATATACTCTACCTGATCATTCCTCTGGGCCTGTCTCTGTCCCACATGCCTCTGTCTTAATCACCACGTTTTGTGGGGCTGCTGCTCTGTGGATGTGTCTATTCTGTATTAAAGGGTAGCAAGTGTATAAATGTTCATTCTATAGGCTTGTTGGTCTAAGACAATATGTTAGGAGTGGCTGATGAAGAATCAGTTAGTAACTTCTAATGCACTTCACTGGAAGATTCAAAAGAGTCAAGTTCACCAGGGTACACTGAAAAACTTCATAATGTTCATTTTCTCCCAGTAACTAGATTTAGGTGTGTATCCCCTCACAGAATAATGTGCCCTAGTTAACTACATAGTTTAGCTGTGAAACATCGGATCACTCAATGATCAGGTCCTTTGCTTCACTGATTGAAGGCACCTACCAATTAATCTTTATAACTGTTATTAATTGATTTAAAAAGGATTTCCACATATCAGGACTTGGCAACCATTTGTCTGTCTTGTGGTTAACTGGTCCTTGACACTACTTCATTAATAACACTTATTAACAAGGGGAAATCAGATGCAGATTACAGTTCATAAGCTGGATCTTTTTTCTCTAATTATTGAACTTCAAAATGGGTGTTTGAAGTACCACAGACTAGGATATAGTCAAAGGACTCATGTGAAGGCAACATAATATGGACCATTTTCTCACCAATTTCTTATTATACCAGACTAAAAGTTTGGAAATCTTTTCTTGGGTGCTTCAAAAATTTGTAAGAGTGTACTTATTTAAGGAAAAATATTAATCTATTTAGTTAAATAATATTTAAAGATAGAAATTTAACAAGCATACTTTTGTATAACATATAGAACACACATAGGTGTATAAAATATTACTGATTTGTAAAAATTTATTCATTTTTTTATTTGGATCATCAGGAAATTGACATTTTTTATTAATTATCTGTTTCACTTTTTATATTAAATGCCATTTAGGACAACCTCTGAAATTCTGAAATAAGAATAAAATTTCAATTAGGTTGCTTTTGCATACAAATTTTGTCACCTTCGATGTCAAGCGGTGAGTACAGTACCATTGTAAGCACAGCTTTGAAACAGCAATGCTATTTTTCATTTCCCCTAAAGAAAACACTTTCTATCTGTTTTTAATGGTTTATCATCACATTCCATCACATTGGCCTATATTGTATTGCATGTTTTCCATGCAAAGAATTTTAGTTACTTGAGTTTTGCTTATCTATGCATTGCACTCGGGAGGCAGAGGCAGGCAGATCTCTGTGAGTTCGAGGCCAGCCTGGGCTACAAAGCAAGTTCCAGGAAAGGCGTAAAGCTGCACAGAGAAACCCTGTCTCGAAAAACCATTAAAAAAAAAATCACTCCAGAATTTCAGGGCTAAGCTTCAGTCTTTTCAATGTGCTAATGGACAGCAGGGATTGAACATCCCCTTTCCTGTGAGCATCCATCACCATTGATTGACAGCAGATGAGTCAGAGAGAAGGTGGTAATGAGTTAGCACCACTTGACACTCTTCTGCTGGTGGCGTACTTTGTGGGGAACCTAGTGGGAGAAATGCACAAAAATACACGTGCTCTGTCAACTTGGTCTGTGCTTTTCCACGAGCGTTGAAGCCAGCAGCACTTCACATTGAAGGAAGACAAAAGTTTCTTAAGATGATAAGAGTTAAGAACTGAGTTCTACCAAGCTAGTGGGAACTCATGACCTTTAGACCAAGAGCTGTGGAGCCTCCATGGGTCTGGACTAGGCCTTCTCCATAAGAAAGACACTTGTGTAGTTTGATCTGTTTGATGGACCCCTGGCAGTAGGGTCAGGATCCATCCCTGGTACATGAGCTGGCCTTTTGGAGCCCATTACCTACGGTAGGACACCTTGCACAGTCTTGATTCAGGGGTGGAGGGGCTTAAACCTGCCTCAGCTAAATGTACCAGGCTTTGCTGACCCCCTATGGGAGGCCTTCTCTTTTTGTAAGAGGGAATGGGGGTGTTGGGGGGAATGCTGGGTGGGAGTGGGAGGAGGAAAGAGAAGGGGATCTGTGGTTGGTATGTAAAATGAATAAAAAATTTTTAATAAAGGGAAAAATGAGTTCTAGGATTCATATAAAAATGTGCAAAGACAGATAACAGTAAGTGCTTGGTTATTTTTTCTGGACTTTATTTTAAATGAACTGAAAGAACACAGGGATTATCTTTGATCATTTATAGAAAGTTTATGTTAAGATGGACTGCAAATATGAATAACTAAAGCACTCCAATCAAGATTGAGTCCACAGAACTCAGCCCAAGAAAAAGATAAAATAGTTCATCAGAACACTTGATTATTTTTCACTCTGATTATGCAGTCACAAAACAATGCAGACATTGTACTTTATGCCAACAAATAAACTGAATATTAATCCTTCAGTTATTTTAAACAGAAACCAAAGTCCACATTAAAATCTCTGTTAATTTAATTCCCGTCTGGAGGACTGTAGTTTTTCAGTACGCATATGAAATAAAGACTAAAAGTTTCCTGCTTGGATAAATAAGTAAAAAGACAGAATTTTAGGGCAACATGACTTAAAAATACGAAACTAAAAAGTTTAAAGAGGTATACTTTCAAATATATAATATTCTGCTGTGGGATGGTCTGTATGTCAAATGTGTTACTGATTGGTCAATGAATAAATCACTGATTGGTCAGTGGCCAGGCAGGAAGTATAGGCGGGACTAACAGAGAGGAGAATTGAGAGAACAGGAAGCTGGGTGAGAGAGACACTGCCAGCCGCCATCAGGACAAGGAAAATGTAAAGTACCGGTAAGCCACAAGCCACGTGGCAAGGTATAGATTAATAGAAATGGATTAATTTAAGCTGTAAGAACAGTTAGCAAGAAGCCTGCCACGGCCATACAGTTTGAAACCAATATAAGTCTCTGTGTTTACTTGATCGGGTTTGAGCGGCTTGGGACTGGCGGGTGAGAGAGATTTGTCCTGACTGTGGGCCAGGCAGGGAAACTCTAACAACAATATTCAAATATATTCATTTCAATATATTATATATTCATTTTAATTTTATATAATAAACACATTCAGGAAACTTGAATAAAGAAACAATGACTTAGCAACAATGTAATATAAACAACACAATATTGAAACAACTGACAAACTGATAAAGGAATATAAAGTAGCACAGATATACAAGTTGTGAAAGTTACCCAAAAGATTGTGCCAAAAGTTGCAAAAGGAGATGGCTAATAAGGAAAAACCTTATGTCAGAAGTGTCCCAGGAGAAAAATCCTCCTAGGTGGTGGCTGTGAATAGAGGCTTTATAATCAGAACTGTACTAAGATGCTCATTCTGCTATTTCCCTCCAAGTATACTTGTACTATTTTTAAAACAATCATCATAATGCTTATATTATCAATATGTGTATAGGCTAGACAGTAGGAAATGGATTTTATAAAGTGCCTAGAACATGGTAAGAGGTAAATGAGGAGTATTGCTTGGATTTTGAATGGTAATATAAAAAGGAATCAATATAAGGGAGTGCTGCAGCAGGAGAGGCTGACTTTCAAAAGGACAAAAGGACAGCAGCTCAGGTGGGACTTCTGCGATGGGCCTGCAGGGAAGGCGCTGCACAGGTACACACAGAGAAGCCCAGGCAGTTCCAGAGGGGAGAAAACAATCTATGCATAAGAAACACATGGAAGCCTCTGTGGTTTTGATTTCTCACTGGGAGAGAATGGTAAGGTTTGCAGGGAAGTTATATTGCAGCCAGATACCAGAGGGTGAAAAGCCAACCTACGCTATTTAGGCAGGACTATCTATCTCCACTGTGGGTGTGTGTGGTGATATATTGTGTCCCCCAATATATTGTGCATGCTAATAAAGCTTATCTGGAGATCAGAGGAAAAAGCCAGCCATATTAAACATAGAAGTCAGGCAATGGCAGCACACGCTCTTTATCCTAGCATTCTGGAGGCAGAGATCCATCTGGATCTCTGTGAATTCAAGGCCACACTGGGAACAGAGCCAGATGTTGTGGCACACACCTTTAATCCCAGCACTAACTATAGAGGTCTGGAGGTCTGTACAGACAGACAGGAAGTGATGTAGCTGGGTAGAGAGAGGAAGTGAGATGGCAGGGACAGGAAGGCATATAGGCATATAGGGTATACATGAAGTCACTCTCTTTGGAAGCTGAGGAGTTGGTGAGGTGAGGTTGGCTGTGGCGTGTCCGATTCCCTGATCTCTCGGTGTTCACCCCAATATCTGGCTCTGGGATTTTTATTAATAAGACCACTAAGCAATTCATCTTACAGGTGTGGATACCCTGATTGCTATGTAAATGACTCAAGGCAGGAAAACAAAATATTAGAATGTTTATGATATCATTTAAATGCAAGACTGAAAGTTTTATTTTTGATTTTGAAATAGACTGATAGTATTGGTGTTCTTTAATTTCCTGTTAATTGTTCATATGGCCTACAAAATCCAAAAAGAAAATTGGAAATCCTACTGTAAGAAAAAAATATAGTGAAGCAATCACTTACTTTGTTCATTGTTAATTTAAAGCTAATTGTTTGGTAAAGAAGAAATATGGCTTATATTATACAGTTTCAGCTAAACCCTTTTGTATGGTAGGTTAGTGGCAGATAAAACAATAACAAACACACACAGAGGTCATGTGCTGATAAAACTTACAATGCAAAGAACTCACAAGTGTATCACTAGGGAACTGACACTTCCTGTATTGCTACAGGCATTTGATTAGCAGCATACCAAGGTAAAACAATGATTAAATGAGATCCCACATGGAGTAAGTAAAATATTTGAAAGTGCCAGGAAAAACTTGATGGAATCTGCATTTATAACCACTAGGAGAATAACAAACTCAGGAACTCAGGGAAACATTAAATAGAGGGATGTCCTTATGATCAATAATGGCATGGAGGATGGAGGCAAGAAAAAAAGAAACCTATCTGGCCTCAGATTAGTGCCTGGAAGACAAGAGACAAGTAAATGATGGTGTTACTATTACAGAAAGCCAAATAGAGTGGTGGGTTATAAAGAAAAACAAGTAATAGTCAAACATGTTGAGCTTGAATTTGCAATGATATTTAAAGGGAAACCATATACTTGGGCACATAAAGACACAGTTCTGAAACCCAAAATAGAGACACATATGCACATGTGAATTTAAAGGTTATTCATGTGACTTCTCTGGATAGAAAAGAAGGAAAAATCAAAGGAAAAAAAATGGAAACTGACAAAGAGAAATCCTGAAAATGGCAAATGCAGAACCCACAAAGGTGATCAGAATGAGAAAGAAAGATGGTGGAGATGGGTTACCATGCATGTGTCAAAGTGAACACAAAATAGCAAACTCCTACAAACTGATTCAAGGTTGCAACTGCAACTTCTACTTGGAATTTTAATAGATATACAATAGGTCATTTTTCTGTAAATCATCGGTGTCCTCGATATAAGATATTTGTGGATCTCTAAGCAGCTTGTATTTTAACTCCTGTGTATATATACATACACACAAATATATACATAACAATAAAAATAAAAGCAAAAGAGTCCATCACTTTGAGAGGGAGTAAAAGGGTAAGGGGGGCTGATAGGGGCTAGAGGGAACAGACAGGAGGGTGGAGAGAGAAGGGATGATGTAATTAGATTTTAATTAAAATTAATATATTTTGAAAGAATAGAGTTCCTTTAAAATTGCAGAATTACTTATGCAAATATTACTTAAAATGGAGCATTCATGAAACTTCTCACTAAAGGAAAAGTATGTATCGTTCCATACTATATGCAGATTATAACTAATCCTCCCATATTAAATGTATGACACAAAACTATGAGAAAAATCTAGAATTAAATATGAATACATAAATTTCCATTCATTACAGATTTTGACCATGCCTCTTTTTTTTTAACCAAGAAATTTGTGGCTGACCACAGCTTAGAAACCTATCAGAAGGAAAACCAACCAAAACAACACAAACAACTACTTGCCTTTTACAAAACCTTAATGATACTTTATTTTAGGAAAAGAGAAAAACTGACTTATACACCCATTCTGGATTTAAAAAAAAGAACATGGAGCTATAAAAAAAATCTTCTCATTTTTCTGTATGATTTAGAGAATTTTATCTCTATGCTTTATGGAATTTGATTGAGGTATCAAAATGCCATTGCTTTTCATTTGAGTGAAAAAAAAATAGAGTTCTCTGAAATGTAATTCATGGTTTAAAGGTTTTCACATCCTTCTCTCAGTGATCACATCAGGTACTAAGTAAACCTGTGGCCTGCATATTCAAGACTGTGATGGTAGGAAGTGTACTTACTGTTTTTTCTTTGCCGGGCTCCCCTTGGACAGACTTGGCACCGCCTTCCTCCTGTGGGGGTTTCACTGCTCCGCCTTCCTTCTCTCCTTCCTTGGGCAGAGTCTGAGGTGCGTCCTGTGGCAGATCTGCAGGCCTGGCCTCCGGCTGCCCCTCTTCCTCCACTGGCTTTGCGGCCACTCTTCCGGTGGGCTCTTCGGGAATGTCTACATGAGCTTCAAGTATGCCGCGTTTCTCTTCCCCCTCCGAGGCCAGTGGCTTTTCCTCCGGGGGTAATCTCTTTTCTTCGGGGGCTGGCTTCTTTCCTTCGAGCGGTGGTTTTTCTCCGGCAGGTGCTGACTTTTCTTCTGCAGGTGGCTTCTTTCCGGTTTTATCTTCGGAGAGCGGCTGCTCTTTTTCAGAGGGTGGTTTCTTCTCTTGCCGGGTTGAAACTTTGCTCTTGTCTAGTTTACTCTCTTCTAGTTTTTGATCTGTGGTGGCCGTTGGAGGGGTTTTCTCAATTGATGGTGTTTCTTTTTCTGGAATAAGTTTTTCAGTTTCAGTCTTTACTTCTGTTTCCTTCTTTTTACCTTTTACATGGGCCCCTGCGGGTGTTTTCTGAGTTGATGGTTCCACAGGGGCAGGCACAGGGGATGCCTTGGATCCTGATGATACAGGCGGCATTTTGCCCATATCTCCCAGTTGTCCTGATATTGCTCTCTGCGTCTGGCAATTTAGGCAAAGCCATTCTTGAATCTGCAAAACAAACAGCAAAGAACATATTAGGATTATCTCAGACTTTCTATCTTAGCGCATTAATCAAGATGAAAATTGAAAATGCCTGGTTGTTTTGTTGATTGTTGATAGGCACAGGGCAAGTCATTGTTTTCTAAACCTATCTATCTATCTATCTATCTATCTATCTATCTATCTATCTATCTATCTATCTATATTTAAAATATAAACGTGGGCAAAACCTATGATGACTACTAATCTCTACATTCACCACTACCAAGAAAAAGAGAAGGTGACAGAAGAAGGAGCTTAAGGAGGACCCAGAGAAATACTCATTTAGGGGTTTGCAGAGGAAAGGAACCTGTAAGTTTGAAAGAAAAATTGTTTTAAGCCTAGTATCTTAAAACTTAGTATTTCCGCCGGGCGGTGGTGGCCCACGCATTTAATCCCAGCACTCGGGAGGCAGAGGCAGGCGGATCTCTGTGAGTTCGAGGCCACCCTGGGCTACAGAGTGAGTTCCAGGAAAGGCTCAAAGCTACACAGAGAAACTCTGTCTCAAAAAAAAAAAAAAAAACCCAAAAAACAAACAAACAAACAAAAAACCTTAGTATTTCCATCATAAATTTACTCAAATACAATTACATTTTATAATAATTTTCATTTTATTTAAAATTAAGCACAGTTTATTTGAGTTTAATTTACCAACTCTTTATCTCTTGGTATCAACCAAATACAAATGCACCAAGTAGCATAGAGTTTTCAAGAATCACTTGTGTCTAATTCTCTATCTTCTTTCTAATTAATAAAATGATTCCATTTTTAATACTAATTACATGCATTCATCAGTTAAGCAGGGTGGAGTCATAGATCAAAGTGTTTGCCTTGCTTTTTCCTAAAAGTATTCTGATTTTCTGACTGAAATGTTTCCTTGTGTGCATGCTGCTCAAGGCATAAGAAGTTGTAACACCCTTCAGCAGAACACCTTAGGTGGTACTCAGATATACTGCCTCCTAGGGGACTATTTTAGCAGAGCACCAAGGGAAGAAAAGAAGACCCACCGTTCTGAGAAAAAACCAGTTCACTGCTCTCGTAATCTAATCATGAAAAGTACTCTCTGAGAAGAACGCAGGCAAAACAAGCATACAGGAGGCAGATGCTAGGCTAAGGGTAGACACTCTCCTTGACTTTTGTGTTTTGTATTTTGCCCTCCATTATACGTATTTTACTGTAAGAGATAAAGCCTATGCATGTTGCTTCTTTCTAATTATTACCATTTAATGTGTATTTATTATGCAAGAAACAAGGTGGGAGGGTCTATAAATAAGACTGCCTGCTTTCTTATGGTGCATTGTCTCCAGATAAATTCAATTTCAAATTGGTTTTTATACTGGCTCCTTTCTCCAGGTGCTTGGTTTAAATTCCTTACAGAAAAGTCACTTACTGTAGTAGAATACTATTAAAGAAAAAATTTCATTTTGTCCCCTGCTTTCTATTTTTTAGAAATGTTAACAATGGCACTTAATATATGTGACTACTTTGTAATCTATAAGGGGTTATAGATCCTTAGTTTCTAATCTAAAGCACAAAGGTGAAAGTCAACTGTTGAGTTCAGTAAGCCCTTTCTTAAAACATTAGGATGTATTTGGGTGCCTTTGCTTTTGCTGTGTATGACCCCTCAATATCAATCCTTTCTTGAATTCCCATTAAAGCATCTTTGATGTGAACTACAGTTTTATGTAACAACCAGTCATGGGAAAGAAACTGACTTGATCATTGTCAAACAGTGAGAGCCTTAGCTCTGTGCTGAACAGTTCCCAAAGATAATACCTACAGAACACCAACCTTGATCTGTGCTATGGTTTCAGAAACCATTACTGGATTGAAACACATCATAAGATATTTTCATTATTCATATTTTGAACTTGACATTTCAAAAAACAAAAACAGACAAAAATAGCAGTCTCGAAGTGCCGTTTTGTCACAAGGATTCTAAAAATCACATGCAGGTGTGTACAAAGCATTCTCATCAGGACATGTCCCAGTGTAAATAAGCTGCAGACTTTTAATCTAGCGGGAATACAGGTTTTATTCCATTCGGAAGTTTTGTCTATTATAAAATTCTGATTATTTTCTTGTGAAATTACTCTTACTTAGTTGCCATATATTGAGTATATGGTAAGTACCACAGAGCATGTGGCTTTTATTAAAAAGGAAATGTATTGAGAAAATGAGGCACATTGGTATTTGGGAGGTGGTATACTCAGTATTTTCATACCTTTTGGAAATTTAGGTAAGAAGCTTAACTTTAGTGTATACTATGCCAAATAAAATACTTCATTTCTCCAATTTATAGCATGTGGTAAACTTATAAAGCAGTGGTGACTATACCACCAGCGTCTCCCACGTGAACAGATGGTAGAGCAGCTCTCAGAGATAATACCCAGCTACAAACCCTGAAACCTACAGCAGCTCTCTGCCTGCAAGATATACTGGTGCAAGAGCAAAACAAATGGTATCGGAGATAATCAACCACTCTGGGTGGGTTTCTGACACACTCAAGAGCTGGATCCCATCTATATCAGACAGTGTTAGTGAGGCCAAGATCCTAAGCCTAGGTAAGTCATGGGCTCTAGGGAAAATTCTACTATTATTATTCTGCTAAGACAACATACAATAAACTATCTCCTAATGGCATATTGCTATACCTATAGATAAGTGTTGTTCTCTACTGTCATCAGAGAAGCTTCTTCTTACAGTAATTAACACTGACACCCACCAATGGACAATGTGTAGAGAATAAGGGACTTTGGGATGCCCCGCCCTATACATGGTATCTGTATCACACTCCTGAAGTGTGGGCTCAAAGATCTGTGCAGAAGAGGGTGTGGAAAGATTTTAAGAGCCATAGTCGTGATGACCTCAAGGAAACAGCTTTTTCCAGACACAACAGGGCTGGTCCATCTAGGAACTTACATACACCATGACAACATTCACAAGGCCTGCCCAGCACAGAAGAGAGGAAGTAAGCATAAAATCCTACCCCTATCCAAGAAGCTGTTCATGATGGATAGATGTAGGTAGAAGGAAATTCAGATTTCTTCAGTGAAGTGACACTGGGTATACCAACCACACTGTGGGCCAGGTTTCATCCTCAGTAGTAGTTGGCCAGTATAAATTGGACTCTATAGTTGTTTGTTTGCTTATTTTAAGAGAGAGAGAAGTACATGAAGTTGTGTACAAGGAGAAGTTGAGGAGAATCTGTGAGGAGTTGGGAAAGGGAAAAGAATAAGATCAAAATATATTGTGTTTTTTGTATATACAAAGACAACTCTGCATCCAAGGTTCAGAGAATATCATGGAAGATGAGGAAGAAACATTTTAAGATCCAAAAGACCAGGAAATCTGCTGTAAAATTTTGTCTCCTAGAAATGAGAGGGAAGCTTCACCCATAATACTTCCACAAGGCCTGAAGAAGTACTAAACCAACAGACAAGCTAAAATGAAAGTGGGAACCTCCCAAGGCTCTACTCATAACCCAAGAACTACAGGCCACTAAACGTTTGAAAGTGGAAGAAGAAACAGTCTTCCCTAAGGATGATCCTCCTATTTGATTATTCAATACCAAGTGGTCAGCCCTGACATTATATACATATAAGTAACATTAAACAAACCAAATATGTTGTATTTGTATATTTAGGCACACAAAAATATATATGCCTAATATATAATTATTGAGAGCTGCTGATAGCAAAAGTCCATGAGAGTATACAGCAGTGACAACTAGAGTTCAGAAGGTCAACCTATCAGAACTAAGGGTTCTGTTAGAGGAAACTATCATGCAAGGTGTTATGGACTTACTGCCTTTTGAATGAACTGGCTGTCTCTTGCAAACTTCTTGTGCAATAACAGCTGTGATTCTCCCCATTTACCATGCATCTCCACATTATGTGGACATGTAATCTCATGACTGCATCTCAATCTTGGGCACAATTTTCCCTATATATTTGGGGTAATTGGATAACTGACCCCAGCTGTGTTTGTTTTTCATAACATGTATCTGGCCAGGGCCATTCTCCAGACAAAGGTATTTCAGCAAAGACACCTTTTTCCAAGTACAAAACTGCACATAGATAAACATTAGCTCATCTCACCCACAGATAGAGAGAAGAACCACTAGCAATTAAAACTTCAACTCCTTACCTTCACCCTAGTTATTTACACAAGACCCTAATTTAAGAAATTTACTGCTCACATTCCTGGGATGCTGTTTTAGCCATTTGCTAGTTACTGAGTTAAGACAGTTACTTCCCACTGACCCAAGAAGATTGCCCTCCAGGCCAGGCAGGTGAATAGGTGCCAAGCTTCTTTCTTGTGCAAATTAAGTTTTAATTCCTCCTCATTCAGGTGCTATTCCCAGATTCCCTAATTGATCTTAGCCTTTAGTTGACCCTACCAGAGAATTCCCCTTTAGTCACTCCCCTTTTGGGCTGTAATTGGAAGATGACATTTATTGTTTTATGTGTGAATCCTTACCACCTCTCACAGCTACCCTGAAAACTTCAAGCCTCACCTTGCTTTGCCAAAGAATTACTGTTTGGGTATATATACTGGTTCCCTCAGAAGACTGGGAAATTGATTGAGAACAGCAAAGATGAGGATGGAGATGGAAAGAACTAGATAGAGATGAGAGAATAGCAGAAGGGACTGAGAGGAACGAAGTAAGAGAGCAGAAAAGAAACTGTGTAGATAGAATTGACTTAGAACAATGAGGTAAATGGACTAAAGAACTCAGTGTGCTTAGATTCATTTGATATTCCTCAGATTAGAATCCTTAGCTGGTTGTTAGATTCTTCCATGGACCCTGGGAGTAAACAATATAGGCTGGATCTATTATTGTTTACATTATATAATCAACTAATTATATATAATATATGTAAAACTGTATATTAAAATCTAGATTTTAAAAGCTTTCTTCATCATCTTCCATGATATTCCCTGAACTTTAGGTGCAGAGTTGTCTT